ATTTCTACGATCAAACGCTATTCACCCCCCCTCTAGCGTTGGTCACTTATTCTAACAATTGGTATCAGAGCCTAACTCGCGTCCAAACTTAACCGTTTGAGAGTAAAGCGATCATGGGTTCTTCTTCTAGAAATTTGTATGCAGGAATAGGTGAAGGGCAATCAACCACACGGCCACCTCTTTTTGATGGAACCAATTATACATATTGGAAAGAACGAATGAGAATCTATATTCGTTCCACGAACTTCCAATTATGGTTGGTTATCAAAAACGGGGAAGAGGTGCCGATGAAGAAAGTCGGAGACAAGTTGCTCCCCGAGACCGAAGACGAATTTGATGCCGAAGACATCAAGAAAGTAGAGAACTACGCAAAAGCAATTAACATGCTCTACTGCGCGGTCAACCCCGATGACTACCGCAAGATCTCCTGCTGCTCAACCGCCAAGGAGATGTGGGATAAACTTGAGGTGACGTACGAAGGAACGGACCAAGTACGTGAAGCCAAGATTGACTTCCTCACCCAAGAATATGAGATGTTCAGGATGAAGGAGCACGAGAAAATCGACGACATGTTCGACCGATTTTCTAAGATAGTCAACGATCTTCATGCATTGAAGAAGACTTACACCGACAGGGATCTTGTACGAAAGATCCTACGGAGCTTGACATCCGAATGGCGATCTAAGGCCGATGCCATCTATGAGTCAATCGGCACATCAAATGTCACCATTGACGGTCTAAGAGGTAATCTAAAAACTTATGAATCTACTATTCTTAACCCGCCTTTAAATGACCAAAGGAAAGGGATAGCATTAAAAGCCGTCAAAGAATCAACGATGGGTGATTCAAGCGACGATGATGAAGTCAAGCTTGTCATGAAGAAGTTTTGTAAACTTCTAAGGAAGAAAGAAAAGGTTGAGGATGGCCCTGTGTGCTATGGATGTGGTGAAGCCGGGCACATCAAGAACAAATGCCCAAGAAGCGGAAGGAATGCTCGACACTTCAAAAGGCAAAGGGCGTACATCTCTTGGGGTGGCGACTCCGGCGACGAGTCAACCGACCAAGACGAGGATGAAGCTACCAACCTCTGTCTCATGGCACACGAAGACCAAACCAACGATGTACAAGAGGTATGTACCATTTCTTCCGACTCTTACACTTTTGAAGAGATGCAAGAAGCACTTCGAGAGCTTTATGATGAATCTGTTAGCGCTTCTAAAACCAACAAATCATTAAAGAAACGTCTTTCAACTCTTGAAAATGATTTTGAAAAACTAGAAAAAGATAATGAAAAATTGAAACAAGAAAATAAATTTTATGGCAAAAGAAGCGCTAACAAACCAGAGAGCTCCTCAAGCGAATGTGAATCTTGCAAAGCTTTAAAAGAAAAGGTTGCAGAATTTGAGAGTACGGTTAAGAAGTTTAATACACCACACAAAGATCTTAATTTACTCCTAGATACTATGCATTTTTCTAAGGAAGGATTGTGTTTTGATAAAAATGAATCCAAAAATAAAAACGTTGAGCAAACACCTAGACAACCTCCTAAGGCTCAACATAAGAAAGTTAAAAATCAGGATAATAGAAAATCTAGTCAACCTAGGGACACTAGACAACCTAGACAAACGCCTAGGAATGAAAATGTGCATGTTAGACAACCTATGAAAAACTATCAAAATGAATTTGTGCATAAAAATAATTTTTCAAATAGACAAAATAATGCTAGAACACCTAGAAGAGAGAGCTTTCAAAAACCAATATTTTCCCAAAATAGGATGAATATGGTTAGGCCCCCTAGCAACTATTATCAACCTAGGAGGATGCACAACCCAAACGTAGTTTGCCATTATTGCAATAGGGTAGGACATATAGCTCCCGTGTGTTTTACCAAACATAGGCACTCCACCTATAATGAAACGCACAACATTTTTCGTGCTAACGAAAAGAAATCCTTTGGAAAAGGATATTCGTATCATAAACAATCTCCACAGGATAATGCACAAAAGAAACCTTATTATTTCTTCTACTTTGACGAAAAGAAGAAAGTCCACATTCCGTTACCGGAACCAACACAAATCACACCGAGATATCGGCACTCCGTTCAGGTAGACTGGAACCCGCCAACCACGAGATCATGGGTTGGCCAAGGTAATTCCTAAACGATCATCTAATCGGGTGTGTGTGTGCGTGTAAGGAAACGAATTTTTGGGTGTGTGTGTTAACTAACCCCAAGGACCCATAGACATAGTTTGGGTACCAAAGTGTTGCTTTTTTGCAGGTACATATCAAAGTGAGGAACTCAGGGGGAACCAGCGATGGGTGGTTTATCCCATCGCTGGGAAGGAAGTATTTTCTAACCAGCAACCCTCTTCCCATCGATGGGAACTTCTTCCCATCGCTGGGTGTTTGACACTT